TAATTTAACAACGGAAACACTACACTATCCTGGATGGGTTCCCCAAATAATTCACGTCTAACAAAAAAATGAACTCGTCCGAAAAAGAATATATAAAAATTCCTAACTAAAGAAATGTAAACCATATTTTTAACTATCATTAACTTTTTATGAAGATATCAGTTTGTGAAGCATTTATGAGTAATAACAGCAACTTTTACGAATGAAACACTTTTGTAAACATTATCTTTGTAATCCCCATGCAAAGATAAACCCCTTTTTCAAAAGCGTCTGATCATTAGGGCTACTCCAACCAAAGAATACATCCATCATAGTCAAATGTGTTTAGTCACGCAATACTTGATAAATTGGAGGGACAGAATGCTGCTTCTATTTATGTCTAAAACTGTGATTCGTATTCTAGGAGAAATGAGGCGTTTCCTGCACACTATTTCGGCCTACTTTGTTACTTTATCTTTTGTTTTTCCGTTTATTTTTTTCCTTATTTCAGACATTGTTCATATTTTAGACGCTTTATATATTTGTTTTGTCTTTGTTTAAATAAAGCTGAATGTAGACATTTGCTTTTGGTTTCAGTCGTAATATGCTGGTTATTTTTGTAAAATATATTAACTCGACCTTACTTCGAAAAAAGGTTTTGACCATTTCTTTTAAGTTGTCATATATTAAACACGACTTTAGTCTACATGGGTAAGTCTTAAGAAAAAGCGTCATTTTAAAGTTTTATAGTATTAAAAAGTTATCGACTGATAATTTAATTGATTGGATTTCAATAAAATAAGATCTAGATAGTTTTTCACTTATTAAAAAATATAAATACTTTGAAAACTTCAAATTTTTGGGCTTTTTTTCAAATTGATTTTTTTTTCTTTTTTCAGATATTCAGAACTGAAATGATTCATCTATGATAATGAACGGATTCTTCCGTTTAAGCACGTTTAGTCAAGTTTATTTTTGCATTTCTTCGATTGTCTTTTAGTGTTTTTTCTAAATTAAAAACACTTATGAAGCAAATCTAAACATATAAAATCACTAGTTTGATTTCATGAACAAAATCAAATTGAAAACTGCCTTCCCTTTTAATCTTCATACAAAGAGGTAAGTTAAAAACTTAAAACATAAATAATAGTAAAGGGTTTCGTTCTCGTTTGTGACTTGTCCTTCTGTTTTGAAACTTCTAGATCCTAAATTCTCATCTGCGGTAGAACGCTTCCGTTTATAAAACAAGTTCTTAACAAAAGTAAAGGAACTTTGGGTTCATATTTGCATTATGCAAATCCAATTTAATTATTACCCTCGCTATAGTGTTGGAAAGTTAGAAAAAATCAATTTTTATTCCTAAAAGTATTTTAAGTAATAAGGGAAGTAAATCAGCGCGTACACTACAGCGTTAAGCAATAAAAGAAGTGATGTAATAACATTTTAAAATTGCCATTATTACAGTCGGACTTCCATTTAACGAACTTCCATTTTACGATTATTTTTGAGGAACCAAGAATAGTTTGGAAATTTCTTCGTAAAATAAATTCTAAAAAGAGAAGTGAATTTTCTGTTTAACGAACTTTTCTTTGAGATCCACTTTCCCTATTTCAAACTTGTTAAAGCATTTTATGGGGAAAATGACCATAAATTGATTTTCGCAGTCACTTAACTTTTAGAGGAAGCAGTAAAATCTTTTTTTTCATATAGGAATCATTGCCAAAAATCAATTTACGAGAAAGCATAACAGAAATTTTTAAAGCATGAAATTATGATGTTAAGGACCGTACTATTCGTAACAGTTTTGCTAAAGCTGGATTCTTAGTCTGCTCGGAGAATTTGGAAAGTGCAGAGGACGAGGATGATATTCCTTTAGAAGAACTTTAAAAAATGTGGGTACAGCTAAGAGAGAACCACGAAATTAACGATGATGTACTGATTAATTATTTTCTTTTCATTGATTCTGAAGTTGCAACCACAAAAACATTAGCTGAATCGGAGATTTTGAACAGTATGAAGAATAAAAATAATAAAGCAATAAATTCTGAGGAAGACAAAGAAGAAGACAGAAGTGAAGAAATGCCCAAACCTTCATATGAGGAAATGTTCAAAACATTTTAAACAATTCGATAAATAATAATTTACCAGATAAATGTGTATCAATTGCCATTTTAGTTATGTCTAATGTTTATGAATTTGAAACCTGTTTTGCGTTGTTTAAGTATTACAAACGGTGATTTTCTATTTAACGATGTAGTGTATATACACTACAAAAATATAAATCCAGTTCACTAGTATATAAGACATGTTAGCTCGTATCCATGGTGGGGTACCTTTTCATAAGTGAAAGTTGACATTGTCGTTATCTACTCTCACCACATTGGTGACATTCGGACGTGATGTGGCGACGCCTTCCTTGACAGAAACGCCCACTACAGTTTAAACATGCCTACTTCAATGGATGGTGCACATTAAACAGTTGATTTGCTACTTGTGACTGTGACATTAGCCTCCTCACGCTGTTGCTTCTCAGTCCCGATCACTCACAACGTACAACGTATACACTCGACTGCTAAAGGCAACAGAGAAGCGACCACGACCGTGAACTTAATACAGCTCACACGATTAGCATTCAAAATGTATGGTGATCTTAATACAGCTCTCCCGGTTTCTCACAAAATAGCAATGAATCAACTAGTTGTATCCGTTCATCAAATTCTATCACAGATATAATTCTGGTGGGGGAGTAGGGGAGAGTGGGGTCAATTGTAACAGGGTACGATTGTTACACAGCAAAAATTTCGAGTGTCGTTTTCTAGATTTGGTTCCTAGGTGGCGCACAAGGTGTATTTAATAAATCTACATGTACACCCCTGCTGGCAACCATTTTTATGTACTTNAACAAGTGCACGACTGTCAAAAATTGTTAATAACTAATATAATAATATTTAAAATCAGGTATTTATTTTTTTTTTCTAGTAGAGGATAGTCTACTTTACTCGTCTGTCAATTAATACTAATAATATATTGGATTTTTTGTTAGTTAAAAATAGTTAAGTAAAAAATGTTACAATTGACCCCACTCTCCCCTACTGTAGTGTATCTGCTACTACAAAAATATAAATCCAATTCACTAGTATATAAGACATGTTAACTCGATTCTGCTGTGGGGTACCTTTTCATAGAGGAATGTTGATATTATCGATATCTACTCTCAGCACAAACGAATTTTCTATCTAACTTTTTTTCGGGATTTAGTGACTTCATTATATAGAGGTTTGACTGTATTAAAAAAATGACCTACTGAAAAAATTTATATGCAAGGTGAATGATCTGGATTCTATTGATCCTGTCTACTAGGTTAGCTGCTGAACTATAGGCGGGGGTCTGTAATGTTTTCGACCTGCAAACATGTTACATTTATTTTATTTCCAATTTAATCATCTTACTTATAGTGTTTGAATTTGCCTGACAATTAATATACTTTTCTAATATGTATCTTTTTAATCATATTACTTTAGATGTGGGAGAATTGAGAAAAGAAGCTGATCATTCTGAGAAAAACAGACAAGGTGAGAAAATATATTGTTTTTTAATTTCTGGAAATATCTAGTTATAATCATTATACTAAGATTGACGGATCTTGCGAGTGAAGAGAAGCAATTCGAAGCCACGGGGCTTATAATAGATTTTGCAGCAAGTGGATTGGTGCCAAGGTGCATTGCCTTTTCTTTAAGCTCGCGTCATTATTCCAGGATTTTTTTCCTAATACAGTCAAACCGCGCTATAGTGAACTCCCGGATATAGTGAGAGCAAAGTTCGCTCAGGTGAGTTGCTTCACATGTATAATGTAATTTTTCGTGGATATAGTGAACCAAAAAAAGAGAGGAAGTTGGATATTATGAACTTTTTTCTATCTTCGACTGATTTATTTTCTTCATTTTTTTTGTAATAGTTTTGAAATTTCTACTTCAAAATCAATACATATACCGATTTTTAAAACCATCGATAGCATGGAATGTAGCAACTAGTATTTTTTCGTGTTCGTTTCATTATTGAATAGCATCATTGAATTGGGTTCAGCATTCAAAGAAGCCGCAATCTTCCAGTATCTGGAGAAATGCTTCAAGTCAAAGCCGATGAATTTGCTAAGGGATTTGGTGAGACTACTTTTATGTGCTCGAATAATGGTTACACAGAATTAAGAAGCGTAATAACATGAATTCAGGAAAAATTATCAGAGAGTCGGGAAGTGTTTTCATATCTGATGTTGAGGATTTGCTCGTCAGCTAAAGATTACCAATTTTTATTTGTACGCAAGACGAAGAGTAATAAAAAATAAAAGTTAACATATTTTTTATTACTACTTATTATTTTTCAGTCAGTTTTGTATTTTATTTTATTGATCATTTATTTAAGTAATGTGTAATAAAAGGAGGGGGGAGTTTGGAATCATTTGTCAAAATTGCGTGCAAACCGGATGTCGTGAAGTCCCGGTTATAGTGAACTAAAATTTCGGTCTCTTGAAGGTTCACTATAGCGGAGTTTGACTGTATTCTATAAGAAAAAAAAAACACATTTTTTTAATAAAGTAGGATTTTTTGAACTCTTAAAAGGTATTGCTATTCTATAAAACTTATGATTTTATGAAACTTTGGATGATCGCTTATAGTAAAGAACCAAATCAAAGTCACATTCAAAATTTATAAAAATATGGGGAAAATTGGTTTGAATTTAAAGTTCAATCGAAAAAAGCAAAAAGAAAATGAAGTTCTGTCTCCAAATTGAAAGGAAATAATAATAAAACCAGGAGCCAATCATGAATTAAAAATAAAATATTAAGAAATGTAAGGTTATTTAAATAAAGAAATGGTTAAATTAGATTTTTCCGTAGTTTTATTTTGAAGAATGTAACCAAATTGCATTAAATTACGAGAAAGTTTTGTAACCTCGGTTTTCGTTGTTCAACGGTGACATTTCTTAAAAATTCAGTAAGACATCAAATCCGGAGTCCAACTTACTTTCTTCCAATCTACGTAATTCTGTAGAGCTTGACGAAACGGAACCATTTTTGCCGCTCCTGAACTATACAAATAAGGATCAATAACAGGTTTTTCTTCTTCAATATCCGGATAATCTGGTGCTCCTTGTCCTCCATATCTTGATAGAAGAAGAAGTCTGAAGAAATCTCTCACTTCATCTGGAGTTTCATCTGGTGTATCGCTTAAGTCTTGATAAAACTGAGAAGTTGTAGATACCCAAGTCATCAAAAAACTGGAGAAGAAGGCAATTAAAAGTGCTTTCATGTTGAGATGGAAATCTGCAGGAAGAAAAAAACAAAGTTATTGAGCTGAAACGGAAGAAGTGCGTCACTGACTGTACACACTTTGTAAGATTGCAAAAAAAAAAGAATATAGTAGCAATTTTCATCTGTCAACAGATTAACGAGAAAAGCTGTATTATGATACATTGAGCCGCGATGGCTCAGGGGATAGAGCGTCCGCCTTCCAATGAGGTGAACCGGGTTCGAACCTCGCCAATGGCTGGTCGATATGAATTCCCCATCCGGCTTGCACCGATCACAGTGCTGACGTGAAATATCCTCAGTGGTAGACGGATCATGGGTTAGAGTCCTTTTGCCGTCAGACTAACCGTAGGCGATTTTCCTCTCCATATAACTCAAATGCGGGTCAGTTCCATCAAATAGTAATCCACGAAGGCCAATTTCCCCCAGTACTTGATCCAGGAGTTCCTTTGTCTTCTGGATTGGGTTCAAAATGACAAGGCTACGGAGTTGAACATTAGAGTCGTAAACCCGAAAATTGGGTCGACTGTTCAATGATGGTTATAAAATAAAAAATTATAAAATATTATGATATATTGATTTTTTTTCCTCATTTCATGCGTATGAAAATTGACTCTAAAAGTATATTTTTTCTGTCGTTAGGGATTTTTTCACACAGAAAGGATACTAAAAATTCATGAAAATTTCTTCGTTAATAAAAAAACCGTTTCCTGGTGAATTCTTAACGATAACATTTCATCTATTTCAAAAATACGCAAATAAATAAATAAATGAAAATAAATAATACAATAAAAAATTTCATATAACTAAATTAGTATCTTTATTAGCTTCGTGTTACGAATGTCGCCAAAAGCATTGCATAATACCTTTACTAAAAATTCACGAAATTTTCTTCGTTATAGAATAAACCGCTTTCTGATGAATTTTCCCCGATAACACTTCATCGATTTAAATAAATAAATAAATAAAAATAACAAATGTCACGTGTCAAAATTACTATCTTTACTTTGCTTCATGTTACGAATGTCGCCAAATTCATTACATTTTCTACCTTTTAGTCTCGAACGAGGATATGCGCGTTTATAATGACAAATAATTGCCGAAATCATGGGGGATATTAAATTGCAAGCTATAGATAATTTCAGTAGTATAATTATTGATACTTGAGGTGAATCGTAGAACAGCATAAATGTTAGAAAAGTTTTGAAAACTAGTCACTACAACATTCTGGATTAAAGAGCAACACAGTGGATAAAAAGCGAACAGCAAAGTTATGCATTAAAACTTGTAATTTTAGTTACACTTTGGAATGATTAACAAACTGATAAACAAATATACTTTGGGTACAAGCCTTTGTAGATATATCTTAGTACGAATGCTCAATTTTTTTCATGACGATTGCACCACTCACAGTTAAAGAGTACGCACGTGTAAGTAAGAGTTCTCAGATTCTTTTTAGATTGAAGTAACTGAGAAAGTTGAAAGCGTTACAGTATCAAATTTTGTATGAGGCTAAAAGATTTTCAACTTAATTGTTGGAGTTGTTTTCATTTCAGAATCCTTAAGTATTGAACAAAGTTCGATGCTGTAATTTTGTTTATTTTTTTCAAATTGTGCAATTTGTCCCAAAATAAAATCCACCGAAAAAAATTGAGCATAAGCACTAGGGTATATCTACACCGAAGAGCCATTACATTATGACCACCCTGCTAATAACATGTAGGACCACCTTTAGCCCTCAAAACTGCTAGCACCCGCCGTGGCATTGATTCCACAAGGTGTTGACAGGTATAGTTCGTTCATCAGAAGTTGAGACTTGGCTCCACCTCCTGGGGCGCAGAGTTCATTTCAGCGCGGGAGTTAGAAGAGAAACATCCCCGTTGTTGAAATTGAGACAACCCTTAATTTGCGCCAAACACAAAAAGTGAATTATTTTTCAGTCATTACTTTGCTTTATCATCTGCTATTATACCTTTTGTTACACTAGCTAATTAAATATAGTTTAAATTTAAAAACTGTTGTTCTCCCAGCGAAATGGCTCATAAAGGACAAACTATTCACTCAAAAGAAAGAAATATCATAAGAAATGGTGCAAAATATAATCAAATTTATGAAATATTTATTGTTAAAAAAATGCACATAAAGTTTGCGAAATAAATATTTTTGCCAAATGATCGCCTAATAGCAACATTGTTCAAGTTTTACTCACAACCTTCTCCCAAAAATAGCGAAATAGTATCGTCGCATACCACGTGATGAAGGCGGAGCCAAGTGCCAACTCCTGGTGAACGAGCTATAGTCTGAGGTATCTGGTACCAAGCGCTCACCAACTGGTCCTGCAATTCCATTGTTATAGATGGAGGGTGGTCATAATGTAAGGGCTCTTCGGTGTACTTATAGTTACTAAGCCACACACTCTAAATTTTTTTATATTACCCATAAAAGCCATAGTTAAGTACTTTTTGAACTAAGCTAGTACACTTAATGCAGATTTTATTCAGCGTTTCTTAGAGACGAACAGAGAGTCTTGTCAGATTGGAAATTTTGGAATTCTATTACTATTTTTCATTCTCTTTTCTGGCTATTCAATTGTTATTTTCTGGATGTACAACTACTCATTTTGGGCGAAAGAATTCAGACACTATACTGATAAGCCACATTTTCAAATTCCCTAGAACAGTGTTTTCTAAAAGCGTGTTAGGGAAAAGCACCACCTTTATAAACAATAAAACTGCTTGTAAAGCTCGAATATAGTGGAACTTCCAGTAATTTCTTAAACACCAAAATGAAAACAATTCTAAGGAACAATTAGATATAAAAATGCAATGTCCCAAGCCATAAAAATGTCCACGCATTGTCCAAGCATCATGGAACATTTTCTGTTAAGTTTATTTTTCCTTTTTGCTTTGTAAGGAGAAAATTACCTTTATTTGCAAATGTAAATTCGTTTAAATATTTCTGAAACCTAAACAGTTAAATTTTATTATATTTAACCCAACTTTTAAGTTAGCTAAATTTTGAGTCCAAATACTTCAAAGAAAAAAGAATGACATGACGTGCCAACAAGTAAATCAGAATTTCCTATTTTCTTAGAATTTTTTAGCAAATATTCTCGTTTCGTGTACCTTTATGTACCTTCCTTTAAAATGGGACAAAACTTTTGTTGTCTATAATCTTCATGACAAAATAAATCTGATTATCTGTTACTAATAGAACATAGGAAATTTTCTTCAATATTCTCTAAGAAAATATTATATATATTCTCTAAGAAAAGTTTTTGATCAAGTGTTTTTCACTGTGTCTTGGGAATCAACCTATAAGGCATGTTCTAGATATGTTGGCAATAAGAATCGATTTGTTTTATTTCATCTAAGAAGAACTTTGCTTTTTCTTGGTGCCTGGAGAAAAACAAGTCTTGATATATTCTCTGTTTGTTTAGAAGATTTCCTAAATTGACAAAGATTTTTATCCTTGTAAGTGATGCGAGCGAAAGCTGACAAATTTTCGAGATAAAATAACATAAAAGGACATACCGTTGAGATATTTTTTATTAATGATTTCGAAAAGGTTTTGTTTCAATTTATAACATTCGTTGTTTGTATTTTTTACCTTAGTAAGAAAAAATCATTTTTAAATCTAACAAATATTAAGAAAACATAGCATATCTTTTGTAAGCATATTGTATAAGATTTCAGTTATTAATAATTACATTTTAAAGCAAGATGCGAAAATTTTTCAAAGTCATGGGTTTTTGGACTGCAATTTAGCTTAAACCCCATACAAAAATTTTCAAAATATTCAAAATATATTCTTTATTTTTGTGCATATAAATTAGTTCTGCAAGCTTGCCACACTACAAAAAAACCGGGATCAACTTATCGGCACTTTGGGTTCATCATCCTTAAAATTCCTTTTACCGGTAAATCTATATTTACCATTAAATAGTATACCGTAATGTTTACAGTAATATTTATTTAATTAGAATGATTTAGAGGTTTGACGGTAATTACAACTGTTAAAATTATGGTATATCAATTTTTTGTTCCATAACATGTTCCAATAAAAATGGATTTTACGGTAAACAGTACCGGAACCCTGAGTGCCGGTATTTTTTACGGAAATTTGATCCAGATTTTTTTACAGTGCATCTACTTTACTATTTTCAATAAATTGTAAGAAACTATATGTAAAGAAAATTGTAAATAAGATTTAAACTATGTACATGAGAGGTAGGAAACTATGTATTATAACTAACAGAATTTTTGTTAACTTTGCCTACACTATAAAAGACTCAAAACGAAATTACTGCAATTAAGTGGCACTGTATATGAACTTTGAGTTGTTTGTGAGTAAAAAATAACTTTAAATCAAATTTACTAAGCCTAGAGTTATTCCTTAAAACAAAACCTTAGCTTCCCTTAGAAAAAGCTAATACCCAAAGCCGATCAAACTGGGACCTCTAATTTTGTTACATTTTAAATTTCACGATATACATAGTTATGCTTTTATTTGTTTTGTTTATGTTTTTGTTTTTTTGTCTTCAGAAATTTTTAAATTTAATTTTGTTACTTAAAAACTTAAACGAAAGCGCGGTAAGTATATGGTTTCTCATGTAAGTTTCCTTTAAGTTTTTTATACTTGACTCGAAAGTAGTTTTTTCAAAATGAAGTTGAGTTAATAATTATAAAAAAAAATTTCATAAATTCTGAAAATATTTTATAAATATAATTATAAAAATATTTCTTTTCTTTATGTCTTGAATCAATTTAAATTTTAATTGTTTTTTGACATTTCATGTTGCTTTAAAGTCTTTTCAAATAAAATTAACTTTTTCAAATAAAGCAAAATCATTCTAGAATTAAAGATTTTTTTCTTTTGTAACTTTTTAGTAGATTTCACAGCATTTCACGTAATCAAATGTTTTCATATATTCGTTTCATATTCTTTTAATTATACTTCAATAATGTCAAACGAATAGTTCAAAGTCAACAGGGTGATTATAAATTATTTTTGCT